GTTGCCTCTCATTTTTTATTGGAATTCATATTCAACAGTTTGAAGTTTATCCAGGGGTTTAATTTAAACTTTTATGTCAGAAACTTATTGCCAGTTTGTTAGGAAAGTAATTATTAGAGATTAATTAATAGGCGGGAGTGAGGCGGTCTGGGACTAGGCAGCCATCTTCCACATGGGTACCATGCAACCCTAACCCAAGTTTTCTACATAGTAGTTGTGATGAGTTAGAGCAGTAGCAATTTGTTATTCAGCACCCTTTCTCCCTAACAGTACCAAGAAGCAGTCTTTTGTCAATACTTATTTACACATTCACTTTCCCTGCAGATATTGTTTCTGTTGATAATTTTCAACTGGACTGATGACTGCTTACCAGATCTGGGAACTAATGTTGTTTGTGTGGTAGCAGAGTTGTGCCGAATACATAAACCTGTCACTTCTGTCAATATGGAGTGGCAGTGATATTGACCTCTGCTGAGGCTGAGTATTATCACATTCAGATTGCAAAGTAAATGCCACAAGCGCAGTTACAATCAAGGAATGGTTAAGAAGGCTAGAGATAGGAGAGAGGAAGTTGGGGAATTTCCTTATGTTTATGCATTTAAAGAAACAACCTTGGGTTTCTAGTGAGGAGTGCTAGTTAGTGGCCAGTGAGTCTAATCCTGAATATCTATTTTATGGATTTGCAAGACACTACACTTCACTTATTGTCTTCTTTCCAAATTGATGTTGGTAATCAGAATTGAAAAAGGCATTAATTACCCCCAAGATTAGACAAAACCTGTCTCCAAATTTCATGATTGATCCAATCCCCAGAGAAATTTAGGTTGGAGAGTTTTTAATCTCATAATTTTAAAAGGATTTTTGACATACAGTATTGTATACTTTTGTAGTGTTTTATGCATTGTTTTCTCAGTGTTATAAACAGATTGTGTGCTTTCCTATTGACAGCTTCCCATGTAATTGTTATCTCATAAATTTAGCTATCACAGACTTAGCCTACTTTTGTGTAGATAATTACAAGGTGGGATGACTTACCTAAACTGAGTAGTGTGATTATTTTTAGTATGCACGGGTAGAGTGTATGGAAAGTTATTTCCAGGGAAGCAGTGTGGTCTAGTGGTTAGAGTAGATGATCAAGACACTTGGGTTGAAATCCTGATCCCACTGACATCATTAGAAAAACTCCACTAATGTCAGTGAGACAAGGATTTCAGCTTTGATTTCTGTTCCCATATCCACCACTTACTTGCTTTGTAACTGTGAGCAAGTCACTTCACCTCTCTGTATCTCAGTTTCCTTTGTAAAATTGGAATAATACTCACCCAGCTTTTGTCAGTTGATTTCCTTCATGTTGCAACATGATCTTTAAACAAAAAGCGAGTGGCCCCTATACAATGTGCTTTTAGATGCAGGATTATCATACAAACTTGGGAAAATAAAGAGTCTTTCACAAACTGGAGTAGATCCTTTTGGATGAATAGAAAAATACTAACATTCCATATATGATTCACTGGAGCATTGCCCTCTGAGATGTGAAATTTGATAGGGTCTTCTCTGTGTAACTGAATAAATTCCATAAGTTCCTGGAGAACTGGAAGCCTTTCACTGAACCCTTTTTGGACTTTGTACCCAGTGCTTCCCATAATATTTTGTAACGTACACCTCTGATCCCATTGAAACTTTTTTCATCCCTGTCACTCAGTTCTTGCTTTAAGTGCTCCTAGAGCTAAGGATTAGGATTGTGAACAGTCCTCTGTAGGAGATACATTATCACATTTTAAATCTTTTATGATGTAACTTCCCGCAAAGAGGAGTGAGGGTGGATTGTGTATCCTTCTCTTTTTGTGAGGGTGACAGAGTGCTGTAAGCAGTTACAAATAGAGCTCTTTGCAGGCCAGCACCCTGGTCACTTAGGATATGTCTACACAGGGATTACAAACTTGTTTTTGGCCCAGGTCAGCTGACTCAAGCTCTGGGGCTGAAAAATTGCTTAAAAGTGGAGAGGAATTGCTGAACGTGGCTATCCTGCAAGGGTAGAGGGTCTGAAAGCTTGGGATCCAGCCTGAGCCTGAATGTCTACATGACAATTTTTAGCCCCTCAGCTCAACCCCTGTATGCCTGAGTCAGCTGACCCAGGCTAACTGCGGCTGCGCCTCAGGCCTTTTAACGCTGTGTAGACGTACCCTTAGATCACCCAGGACACCGAGTGCAGTTAGAATAGGAAGGAGTTAAGTAGCTTGATTGAGTTGGGAAGGGTAGAATGAATCACTTACATCACTTAGCCTGATGAGCTAAGGAGGTAATTAGCTCACCAACTGGAGAACCCAGGTTAAAAAACAAGCTGTATAAAAGGCTGACCAGGGAGCAGAGGTGGGCCTCCATCTAGCTGCTGTTGCACTGGAAATAAAGGAAGAAACAATCGTAAACATATTTTTATATGTTACTCCAGTGAACTCTGTGTGATGTATGATTACCAGGAGTGGTTATCAGCCTGGGTTTGGAGGCGCTGACGGGGGTGTCTGTTCACTGTATGGTGTTGGTTATTGATATCCTGCTGTGTCTATGTGGATTGTTGATTGTTTGGGTTGGATGAGGTTGTCCCATATGACATGTCTTCTACTTTCACTTCTCTAATATAGGGTAAAATTCTTCTAAACACAGAGAACCTGCATAAAGCACTCGCATCACCCCTTTTACAGAGAGCCAGTCTATCCCTTGTGGGAAGAGAAGCTAATATATGCTTAACTATCTAGATCCAATTACCCCAGAGCCCACAGAGAGGGCATAAAGGAGCTTGGCTGCTCCTCCAGCCACTAAACTGGAATAGAATCCATAGAGAGTCTGTGATGCAGCCCTGTCACCTGTGGATTTCGTACTCCACCACAAGCCACAATGAGATTTTACAATTTCCGAAATGCAACCTTATATGCCAAATGTATGCACTTTGAAAGATTAATCTGCAAAGTGTTCCTTGGTTTATTCACTGAAATAGTTTTCTTAAGCCAAAATTAGTGTCTGTGATACAGTATTCTCATACAGTGCCTCAACAGCATACACCGTACAGCACATTCAAGTAGGTGATAGTACATACAAGCAAATATATGTTTTATGCAGTATAGAACAACAACATATGTTTCTGTTCATAGTGATATTAAATAAAATTTTCCAATAAATTGATTCAACCTGGCAACAGTGGCACATAACAGCAGCAAACCATATGACGAGTAACAGCTGGTTCTTTTGTGGAAGATTACTTTTCATAATTTATCTCTTATGAACAACATGGGGAAAAACCATCCTGTTGCAATTTACTGTATCCTATAAATTATTTCACTAGATTTTATTACTGTTCAGTTCAATTCATATTTTTTCCATTGCAGTTTTATCATTCCTACTTTTTGGAACTGGTGTTTTCCGTGTTTTTTTCTCCTGTGAAAGAGTTGGAGTATCTGGGACCTGTTAGTGAGTAATAGCTTGATAAGTATAGAAACTCCTGTGTAGAGAACCTGCATGAGGCCTATATACCAATTACATCCTCAAAATAAGGGTTAAGTGGAACTTAAGCAATGAACAGGCCTTGTACTCATCCTCTACATGGAGTGAATTTCTAACACAACTAACTATTTGAAGATTTTACCATTGCTCTGTACATTGTTTGCAAGGTTCTTAACAGTTGACCAAATCTTATCTGTGTTGTCACAGTGTGGATAGCAACTTCCAGCAATTCCTCCCCCTTTTTAAGCATGTATATTCCAAGGTGTGATTTATTATAACCACTGTTGTGCATTTTAGTAAGGTTTCATTAATGTTTTTCAATTTATTTTATGTTCTGTTGTGAATGTTTATAACTTTGTGCAGAATTTAAAGGTATTTTATTTGTTCTTTAGTCTATTGAGAACTGCTCAAAGGACAGAAAAATGAACTTTCCTTCTAAGGATCTCAAAGTGCTTACAATAAACCTGGAAACACTTCTGTGCAGTGTTGGGGAAATTGAGGTTCAGAGAGTTGTGGCAACTTGCTCAAGGTCACAACTTAGGTCTGCAGCAGTACTGTCAGCTGACCCATGCTTCCTGACAGCCAGTTCGTCCTTTGAGCCATAAACTGTCCTTCTTCAGAATAAATAACTCATTCATAACTGCTTCCACAACAAGTGATGTATACGCATATCTGAGTTGTTTTCTGAACTTATTTTGTATCAAATAAATATGTGGCCATTACTGTTAATTATGATACCATTTTTGCTTACTATGTAATGGGCCGACCCAGATGTCTTTGCTCAGTTTTGACTTAGCTCTTACTAAATCCGTTTTTCACAGGGATCAAAGGGATTTTGCCTGAAGGAAGATTGAATAAAGAATTTAGCACAATATAAACACTCCTCAGTAGAGAGATATTGGCTATTCCATTGCTCAGTTATCTTTTTATTTGTTCTAGTTCTTGATTTTTGAAAGCAGGCATCTACGATAGTGTATACAGATTTCTGGATGAGCTAGAATATACTGGATGTCTACGTTAATAAAATATTTTGATTCAGAAGCTTTAGTCAAAATGATTTTTTCCCATTAAAAATATATAAAATGTGTCAGTTTCCCAGTCAAAGCAGCATGTTATATTTTATAAAAGTCAATATATACGGAACCATATTGGTGAATTTCATCTACAGTGCTAGAAGATTGTTAGATCTATGCTCATTTTGCAATTGAGTTTATCTGATGTATGTTGAGATTAGGGAACTCTAATCAATTATAAAGAACATGTGTATACCCCTTCCTGGGAAGTAGTTGTTAAAGTATCACTTGTTAAACTTTCTCTTTCCTTAGAATTGTTTTCTGTACGTAGGAGAACAACGGCTATAATAATTGCCCAGTTTTATTTGGAATAATTTTGTCAGCAATATCCAGAAGAAAATCATGAGTTTGTTGTTATACCTGAATGATGCTTCATGCACCTCCATTTAAACTTTCTCTAAGTTATTCTCTCTCGCTCTCTTTTCATTTCAGCAAAACCATTTGAAAATGGACAATATCTGGACATCTATGGAATTACAAGAGACCAGGCTGGGGAATATGAATGCAGTGCAGAAAATGATGCCTCAGTCCCAGACGTGAAAAAAGTAAAAGTCACAGTAAACTGTAAGTCCTATTACTTTTTAATCACTAAATCCAGTGGAGAGGAAAAAAACAGCCGAGAAGAAAACAGCCTAGTGTAGTATAGTGGCAACAAGCTGCTGAAATAGTAGCCCTTTACTATTAAAGTAGCGAAACCTGCTGGACACTCACGGTATGAGTTAGTCCCACAAAAGGGAGACATTGTGGAATAAAGGTTGAAATGTTCTATGTGTCCTCCAACCCTTCTGCATAATGGAGGATGGGAATGGTTGACATTTCACATTTCTTGCTTTTGTGGACATAAGTCAGACTCTTGGGTGGTGATATTTTTTCAAACTGGAGATTGAACTGTGTAATTCTCATTATTACTAATGGGACTGGAATCCCTGTATTTGTACATTGAAGGCTATATTCTTTTCTCAGAGTTCTTTTGCCACAGTGTTCTGTGGTTTAATTTTGTGCAGTTGTACAGTAATGTAGGAAGAAGAGATCATTTAAACTGGTCTATCTCAGTGGAAGTCTATTAAATAGCAGGTCTTATTATGATATAACCCCAGTACAAATACAGTACATGAGAAGCTCTGCTAGAATGCAATTATTTCATTAACATCTTAGTGGAGATGTCTGATATCAGTGGAAGTGCATAAGACTGGCTGTTAGATTACTTTATAGTCTATCAAGTTGGTCCTTACATGGGCTTTTTTGTCAATGCTTTGCTACTTTACAGTTTAAGTCAACATAAGTTATGTCACTCAAGGATGTGAATTAGCCACCCCCTTGAGCAACATACCTTATGCTGATTTAAATGCCAGTGTGGACAGCGCTATGTCAGAGGGAGAGCTTTTCCTGCCAAAATATCTACTACTACTTGTGGGGGCTGGAGTAATTAAGCCAACAGGAGAGCTCTCTCCTGTTAGTTTAGAGCAGTTACACTACTCTTTTGATTTTAAATATTACACTAATTATATGCTAGTAAAACTATGTAACTTTAAGGGGAGGAAATGAGAATAAATTCTTCAGGTGAAACTACAAGGGAAATTTTAGGTAGGCTAAATGCAATTACTCAGATTGTAATTTGGCCAGATCACCAGGATTAACACGTCTCTTCTCTTGAAAATTGCCTTGGGATCTTAAATAATTACAAGTTGCAAGGACTTTGGTTTGTGTCTCCTTCAAACGTTAGTGTCTCTAACAGCGCAGTGCTTTTAGCACCATGCTATGAAATTAGTTCTGTAATGATTCAGAGAGAGGAGTATGGCTGGCAGAATTGCTTACACTACTAAATGCATTACTTGGGTTTTCCTTGGAGATATCCTATCAGAACACTGACCAGGCCTGACCTTGTTTATTTTATGAAATGGTATGGCTGTAGGCCATTATGTGCTGGGATGTAGTAGATCAATGCAGTTGCCTTTTACCCGTAGAGGCTTAGTTGATTGCTTTATTCTTATCATTACAGTCAAGATTCTGCCTCACTTAATCACATGGATTAGTACTTACAATGATCTCAGCGAGTAAGGGAAGCAGAATCAGCACCTTAGTAGGTTTTTTACATGTCCCTAAATCACCAGAGGGTTTGGCGCAATTGACCATAATTGGCAATCTCTAGGCCTCAGAGAGGTCCAGGGTTGAAATACATAGAAACGTTGCAGATCAGGTTTACATTGGTAAAACTATAATATGAGCAGAACTGCTTCAGGAAGCTAACACTGAGTCTGTATTCAGAGTAGCAGCCGTGTTAGTCTGTATCCGCAAAAAGAACAGGAGTACTTGTGGCACCTTAGAGACTAACAAATTTATTAGAGCATAAGCTTTCGTGGGCTACCACCCACTTCTTCGGATGAGTCTGTACTTTGAGTTTCCTGTGTCCCTTGTTTCCATGAACATTTTGCTGAATGCACCCCAAATTTTGGAAAGTAAAAATAATTGTTTTAAAAATCTAAAATTAGTGTTAGTTTTATGGATATCTATAATAGTTTTATACATGTAAGTGTACAGCATTGTTATTCTTCAACGTTTTGTTGTAATGTAGTGTATTACAGTACAACTGCAAATCCTTACAATATTGGTCCTTTATCATTACAGTAGTCTAATTAGCTTCACATCAATAAAGGTTTGTAGAGTGGGGCCCTTATTTTGTGGAGTGACTTTCTTGCAACCTGTGTCCCAGAATGTTATACTCAGCAGGTGCACTGCCCTACATCCCATGTACCCAAGGGGACATTTTCTGCTGGTTAAGAGGCATCTCCAGCCCCAAGACCCCTTGTACCTGTGCAGCAGTCACTGTTAGTCACATTCACACTTTCTCCTTGTTAATAGTACCTGGCAGCATTGTAGCGGTGCCCTCTCAGCCATCCTCGCCAGCAGCTGCAGGGTGGCATTTTTGGCAAATAAACTTTGATTCCTCACAGCTCTCCTCTTTCTTCCACCTCCTCTTCAAGAGCTGCTCAGGTAAAGGCAGAATTTTGCACCTAGAGGGAAGGAGGGAGCTGAGGTACAGAAGAGGGAACTGGTGAGGCCGAAAGAGTTGTTTTAGCGAGGTGCTCAGTAATAAATACTTTAATCCCTGTAAACTGTTATTTTGTCATGGAGCTCAGTGACACAAATTCCTCCAGTTTGACTTTGCAACTTGATGGGGGTTATAGCCTTATCAAGTACATCATTCCTTATACTGAGAGCCCTAATAGCTTCTCCAGTCTAATTCTTAGTCACATATACACTTCCTTAATAATGAATTATACAAATATTACTTTACACTTTAGCTACTTTTAAATATAAATATATAAAAATATAAATGTAATTTTTATTTATGGCTACAAACTAATTGTGTCTAGGATTAAATGCTGGCAATTTTTATTTCTGCATGAACCTTTTTTTGCTAGAGAAAAATGAAATAAAACATTTGGAACAATCAAGTATCTGTCTTAATTTTTCCAGAAAGCAGCCAAATTGATTTTCTCCTGTTTCAAGTAATTTAGAAGAAAATTAATGTCAGCGCTGAGAACCTGCAGTATGTGCAGGGCCGGCTCTGGCTTTTTTGCCGCCCCAAGCAAAAAACAAACAAACAAAACAAAACTGCGGGGGGGGGGGGCGGGGGGGGCAAAGAAGAAAAAAAAAAAAAACCCTGCAGGGTGGCCGGAGCCAGGGTGGAGGGGGACTCCCTGTGCTGCAGACGTGCAGCGGAGTGCGCGCCCGGTCTAGCGGGGGAGGGAGGGAGCGGGGGGAGAGAGAGAAGGGGGGCAGTCAGGGCTTCAGCGGGGCACTCACAACGCGGCCCCTCCCGCTGCGCTGCCTGCCGGGAGGGCTCTGCGCTGCTCCGGTCAGCTGGGAGGGAAGGATGCGGGCTGCCCTGCCGAGTTTGCTGCAGGGCGCTCCCCTCCTCCGCGCCACTGCCCCCTACAGGGCGGCCGGAGCGGCAAACCAAAAAGAAAAGGAAAAAAAAAGGGCGGCCGGAATGCCGCCCCTTGGAATCTGCCGCCCCAATCACGAGCTTGCTCGGCTGGTGCCTGGAGCCAGCCCTGAGTGTGTGCCAAACTTCAGTTGGGATATTTACATAACCAGGAGCAAAGATTTTAGGACTAGATCCTGACCTCTGTGCTCAGCTTTATGCAAGTGGTCTCTGTAGAAGTTTGGCAGTTAAATTGACCCAAACTGCGGAGCGTCACTAGAGTCGCTTCACGGCTGTTGTTTCAGCCTTCACACTGCAGTTCCATCCACAGTGCCTGTGTGCCCCCTGCAGAGGATTTTGACCTGTGGGTCTACTAGGCATGCCCCTGCCATGCCTCCAAACAGCCTGTTACGTCAAGGCAGCCCTCTGACATCACCAAAGGCACATATACTGAAGGCAAATCTTGAACATAGGACTTGAAAGAGAGACAGCAAATTCATTTTTAGCCCCTTCCACAGCTAGATAATAGGATTTTGGGGACCTTCCAGTAAAAGAGTCTTTGAACCCCTGAGTGCAAATTACATTGTGAGCCTGTTATGACGTTGTGCAGTCTATATGGTTTTATGACAACATAATAAGAAATGAATAGAATGTAACTGGAATAGTTTTATAAAAACATAAGTGAATATAATGTAACTGGAATATGCTTCATGCAAAAGGTCTCTTGTAAGGTATCATTACAAAGCTGATAATCTACTGAGTGTGATCATCCTATTTGTATAAATGTACCTCTCTTGTATCTAAAACTAGAAATATGAAATATAACTCTGAGGGCCTATTGTAATTATGCAAAGTGTGGGCCATTAATAGTGGTTTGGAATCTTGATGACTCCCATTAACCAGGACCATTGTCTGCAGATGGCTGTGTTTACCTGTGAGTCTTCCTGTCTATGTGTGTGTTGGCAAGTGGGTAATGAAGTCTTGCAGTGACATGTGATCATGTCACCTGACCTGGAATCCACCTTTAACCTGGTGCTTTTCCAGTGTGGGGGGGGGAAACCCAGAGGGACAAAGGGTTCCTGCCTTATGCAAAAGATATATAAAGGGGTGGAAGAGAACAAAGAGAGAAGCCATCATGAAGAATCCCCTAGCTATCACCTGAGCTGGAACAAGAGCTGTACCCGGGGAAAGAATTGTGCCCAGGCCTGGAAGGTGTCCAGTCTGAGAAAAAACTTACTGAAGCATCGCTGAGGGTGAGATTATCTGTGTTCAGTTTGATTAGACATAGATTTGCGCATTTTATTTTATTTTGCTTGGTGACTTACTTTGTTCTGTCTGTTACTACTTGGAAACACTTAAATCCTATTTTCTGTATTTAATAAAATCACTTTTTTCCTTATTAATTAACTCAGAGTATGTATTAATACCTGAGGGAGCAAACAACTGTGCATATCTCTCTATCAGTGTTATAGAGGGCGAACAATTTATGAGTTTACTCTGCATAAGCTTTATACAGGGTAAAACGGATTTATTTGGGTTTAGACCCCATTGGGAGTTGGGCATCTGAGTGCTAAAGACAAGCACACTTCTGTGAGCTGTTTTCAGGTAAACTTGCAGCTTTGGGGCAAGTTATTCA